AGTCAGGCAGAAGTATGTGCTAAACTGATTGCAAACGTGGCTGTATCTATAGCAGTGACAAGGAGAAGATTCCTCATCTGGAGGAAGCCCAGTTTGAAAGCTTTGATGTAGAAAGCATCTACTGTTCAGCATGACTTGCTGACATGTGATGGGAATGTGATTGCACACCAAGAATACCTGTCAGCATTCCTAGAGATTTCTTGTTTTATGCTGTAGCTGCATTGGAGCTTTCTAAGAGAACTACTGTTTATTTCCATCAGCTCTCTCAAAAGTAATTTCACAGATGGAAGAAACTTGGGAAAACCCCTGAGTTGAACATCTCTGAATTTCTGTGTTTTCCCCTTTCCTAAAGAGACTACTCCTTCGTGAAGGGGAAACTACTCCAAATGTATTAACCCTCCTTTCGCAAACACTTCCAAATAGGAAGAGGAAACAAATGATGGGCTGACAATATGACTGCTTACCCATGCAGCACAATCTCCATGGAAACAGACTGTCCTAGAATAGCTCAATCACATGAGGGTTACATGACATGAATAAAGTAACCAGAAAACTGGAAAATATCTTAGAACTAGAGATACTTGCACTTAATTCATTACCCCCCAGGTCTTTGGAGAGCAGTGAATAAACAAAGCTAGTATTAAAACCAATTTAGTGCATGTATATCATTATTTGTAAGTGGCAGGGTAGTGGAAAATTAACGTGATCCTCATTTAAAGGGCTGTTTATTGTTTCCAATTTGGGAGACATTGTTTGAGGATGAGTTTTGAGTAACTTTCCACACGACCTCCTGCTTCTTGAAATTGGTACCCATGGTTCACAGCATTACCTTAGATCCTAGTGGATTTCTTCCCTTTGTACCAGCAGGTGCTGACCATTCCCCACTTTTACTTTTAGGATGTTTTGGATATCCTAAAAAGTAAATGCACTAGTTGGAGTAAGAACCACCTATGTGTAGAAGGGATTCCTAAGTTACCTTTGGAATGTTTCCTTCTGGTTAATTCTGTACTCGTAAAGATATTTATTGAGCATGACCATTTTCAATATTTCACTGATGATTAATTTTCTTTGTGTAAAGTCAGTGTTTTTACCATGTCATGACAGTTATTGAGAAACCTGTTATACAAATCAGGTACAAATAAGTAAATCTTCTACCATTTCACCATAAAGAAAATTACAGTTAGGTAGGAAAAAATCTTTAGTCATTAGCTGCAAGTCATTGTAGCGTTAGAACATTTTAGCCCTTCCAACAGTGCGAGGATACTGTAATTTCTGTGGGCAGGCACAGCTCATTCATTACTTGTCTCTTGTTTGTCCGATGGCCTATCACCTTATTTGTCACAGCTTCTACTTCAGAGATGAAATTTTGTAATAAGCTTTTTTGTCTGTTGCATAAATGAAGACCATAAAGTCATTACACATTTATATTAGCACATTTGCTGTCTTGGTTCCTCTAATAGGAAAATGTAATTTCCATCATTCGTCTCCTGGCAGTAGCCTAAAATGGGCACTGTTCATTATTCAGCGAAAGGGGATGAACATTAGCTTAAAGATTGCGATTCTCAAGATTTAACTTTGCCTGTTACAGGATTATAACACACTGGAAGAAAACCCATAGTGCTCATCTGTAATAGATGCTGCACTGTTTCATGAAGTGTGTGTAAATAGTTTTGGCACTGGTTAGGACTGATTATGTCCAATGTAACAACATTGCACTGTTACTTTAAAACATTTTCAACTCATTAAACTTTTTGATGTTTTCATTAAACACATTTCTGATTTATAAAACATCTTTATATGAGTACTCATTTAGGGCTTTGTGTAAGTTGTAAAAAAGTTACTGATAGCATCTCAGTTTCTTGCTGTATATCTTAAGCATGTCATGTGAGCTACATGAGTAACTCAGTGCCTGCTTCCATGGTGCTTTTCTTCCATAAAGTCTCCACACACCATATAATGAAATTCTTATTCTAAGCATTTTCACCTAGGCATGCAGTTCACATCACTGAATGTAATCCTACTGAAATCTGTAGTGCTAATTAAGCAAGTGAAGGTTAACAGGATGAGGTTTCATATCTGGTACACATAGTGTTTACACTCTCTGGGACAGATTATTCATTTAAACGTTACATTTTTAACAATCTCCTCCTTTGCCCTGCTTTGCTAAGTAAAAGCAAATGGCGTAACATGCATCTTTTAAAATCACCTAATCTGTGTTCTGCCTAAAACTAGGAATTTGTCTTGACTTGCTGGAATTTGTCCAGATTTTTGGTCCTGGTGATTGAGCATGGTATGTTGTGTTCCTGGGGAGTTTACAATTGTTCACTCTGTAGGCTGAGGAAAGTGAAGCTCTGTTTTTTGTTGTTTGTTTCATTGAATGGCTTTAGATTTGCTAAGAAGCACAAAGAGACATTCATTTTTGATGAGTTGATTGATGACGCTGCATGTGTGCACCATTGTTGCAGAATATGAGATTTCTCTAGCCAACCATTCCCATTCGCAAATGCAATCTAATACCTGGGCTTTGGAAGAGGATGAAAGGAATGAATATCATAACTGCCTATTGACTGAGGATGAAAACAAGATTTTCCTTTAAAAAAAAATAAAGCACAAGGTTTATTTTCCTCAAACTGCTTTGTCTCTCTCTCTCTCTCTCTCTCTCTTTTTTTTTTTTTTTTTTTTTTAAGGGGGGGAAGGGAAGGGGGCTAACTCTTATCATTATTCCAGTAAAGGAGCAAGCCTCTGAAATAGTCTAATTCTGATACAACTTACACTTGTATCAGATTCAGTGCAATTCACACATTCTTTAAGAAACCAAATTTGAACAGTAAAACACCATAGTTAATGTATGATTTCACAACATGATAAATTGTTTCTTATGGTTGCGTTTTAGAATATTTGCAGGGGTGGTGATGGGAAACATTTTCAATCTATGCAAATGCAGAAACGAATCAGTTTGCACTCAGCGTACAACAGGCAAAAGTAACTTTCTGGGAGGGCAGCACAAGGGGATGGGGTAGGCTAATTCAGCTGAAAATTCAGTGCAAAAAACAAGTGTAAATGTGAGCTATTGAAACAGGCTGTACTTCTAATTGCTGTGAAATGCTCCGAAGTAACCTGTAGCTAAACAAACAAATGTCTTATTGTCTCAGACAGAAAAATGAAAACCTACCCAGCCATTGGTTTCTTCCTCCTCTTCGTGATCAGCTATGGCTCTTCTGAAAACTCCAGCACGCCGAGAGGATGCGGACTGGACCTCCTCCCGCAGTACGTGTACCTGTGCGACCTGGATGCCATTTGGGGAATAGTTGTGGAGGCAGTTGCGGGAGCAGGTGTGCTGACAACATTGCTGCTGATGCTGATTTTGCTGGTGAGGCTGCCCTTCATCAAGGAGAAAGAGAAGAAGAGCCCCCTGGGAATGCACTTCCTCTTTCTTTTTGGGACTCTTGGACTGTTTGGGCTGACATTTGCTTTCATCATCCAAGAAGATGAAATGGTGTGCTCTACCCGAAGGTTTCTGTGGGGAGTTATCTTTGCTTTGTGCTTCTCGTGCTTGCTAGCTCAAGCCTGGAGACTTCGTAGACTAGTTCGACATGGGAAAAGTCCATCTGGCTGGCATCTAGCTGGTGTGGCGATCTGCCTGATGCTCGTTCAGGTCATTATTGCAACCGAGTGGTTAATACTAACAGTTGTCAGAGATAACAAGTTGGCCTGCAGCTATGAACCGATGGATTTTGCTATGGCTTTGATTTACGTTATGTTCCTGATGGTATTTACCATGGGTTTTTCTCTTTTCACTCTCTGTGGAAAGTTTAAGAAATGGAAGAAAAATGGAGTATGTCTCATTATAACACTTTTCTTTTCCATTCTGATTTGGGTAGCCTGGATGACTATGTACCTCTTTGGTAATGCTGAACTAAAGAGAAGAGACAAATGGAGTGATCCCACTCTTGCTATTGCACTGGTGTCCAGTGGTTGGGTGTTTGTTATTTTTCATGCTATCCCTGAGGTCCACTGTACCATCCTTCCATCACAGCAGGAAAACACTCCCAATTATTTTGATACTTCACAGCCAAGGATGCGTGAAACTGCTTTTGAGGAAGATATACAGCTTCCTCGGAGCTACATGGAAAATAAAGCCTTTTCAATGGATGAACATAATGCAGGTAAGAATTTACTATTTTTATGTAGTAGCAAAGAAAATAATCTGTATGAGATGTTTTTCAGGTATTCAGAACAGGGCTCATTACATTTTTATTTTTTTTATATTGCTTATAGCTCACTTTTAAAATTTTTTGTTAAAAATCAATTATGAAAATAGTAGAGGAAAAACACTACAGAAAATATGTCTTTGGTTAGAATGACTCGTTTTTTTAATTGAAATAAATGAACAACACCAAAAGTGGAAGGAAAACACTGGAAAAATAACTTCTATTTTCAAATAACGTAAATAATATATATTTTTTTGTCATTACTAACAACATTTTATATGAAGTGTTTTTTTAAAACCCAAGAAAAAATCAAGTAAGTTCTCCATGTTACAAAGTGTTCAGCCTCTTCAGCAACAAAATAATTATTACTAATCATACTACCCGTAGCATAGTAATCATGCCACCAGTAATAGCATAGGACTTTGCTATTTTACGATGCTGGAGGAAAAAAAAAAATGCAAGGTGGTACACAAGCAAGTTCAAAGACAATTTTTGTCCTGAAGACTTTAACATGTGAACAGAATACGCAGAGACAGGTTTCAAGGTAATGGCTGCTTTCCTTGTCATAGCTGTTTGGTGACACAGAACAATGTGTTGTTCTGACACACAATGAAAATTTGCAATGAAAATGAGTGATTACCAAAAAGGCCAGAGCCCAACTGGTTGTTTAAGAGATCCAAACCATTGCTGAAAGTTTAACACAGATCAGAAAATATACAGGGATGCTAGCCTGATGGTATTGTGTAGGGTAGGTTGTGTTCTGGTCAACTCCCACAATTGGACAAAGGATTTTGGTATTACACAAACTGCTTTTTATTCACTGTAATTGAGACGAGAACTTTGGCATCCCAGCCAATGACTATCCAGGCACTTTACCTTTGTTTTCATCTCTACGTATCGTTGTTTTCCTCTGGTTTTGATGTTTCCTCTGGATGTACACCAGACATGTAGGAAAAGGGCACTCATGTTTGTGACAGTGTCGGGTCAGGAAAATATTTTCCCTCCAAGTGCTTTAGCAGGAACTTTAAAGGTTTCCTCCTTGTATGAAAGCTTTGAACAGAAAGGAGTGAAGATCTGTGAGTATGTAACACAGGTAGAGATAAAACAAACAAAAATCACGTGGATGGAAGAATGCTTATTTATTACTAATGCTACAAAGAAGTAGAGGCAGCTTTACCATAGACTGTAAATGCATTGATCTTTCTTTTTTTACTGCCCTCCAACTCCCATTAAATTAATTTCATAGTAAGGTAACTGCAGTGACTTCAGTGGAGTTATTTCTTACTAAGGCAGATATAAGAAGAAAATTGGATCTTTCAGCCTATATTATTCTCATTCATGCATACATTTAAAAAAACAAACACAGAAGCTCCTTTTTTATCTGGTCATTAGTGATCAATTTTTTTAGTGAAATGGATTAATGTATGATAGCTATAAAATAATTATAGTATCAATTATAGTGTAATTTATGATGTTACGTTTTAATCTAAATACAAAATAGATTTCCTTATCTGATACCCTTATTAATATTTATCATAATAAATGCATGTCAATCCTATTCCCATGGCATGTGGAAGAAGGATATGTTTTTAATAAATCAAAACAGATTAATTATTCCTTTGTAGTTGTTCTCTAATGTATATATAGAATTACAACAGGGTTTGAAGACAAAACGTACTCATGGTAGAGAGTAAAAGTAAATCCAAGTAAAAATATTCAAGTCACATATTAAGGCTGCAAGTGTTAATTTAAGTCATATCACTGCACTGATGGCTGTCAGTGGCTAAGCACTCAGAATCCATTAGCAATTGGCTCTTTGCAGGTATACAGAGAATAATCTTTTCTGCTATTCATTTAATTAACCTCAATTCAAGAATTTGTCTTTAAGAGTTCAGGAATTAAAGGAGGGATACTTTCTTCAATAATAATAATGATGTTTAAGAATAACAATGATACGTAAATTTTGGAAGATGTGATTTACGGTTGGACTTGGTGATCCTGAAGCTCTTTTCCAACCTAGGTGACTCTGTGATTCTCTGACTAGAAACCATCTCATGGTTTGCTGACTGTAATATTTGTTTAAATAAGTGGTTAGCATTAAATGGAAAACATGTTTGGTTAAATGTATTTTCCATTAATTCATTCTGTATAAAGCAAATTTGCTTTCCTTTTTTTAAAAGACTTTAATAATCATTCTAAAAATCTGAATAACCTTTAAACTATAGGTTCAAATAAGCATATGGTCTCATTTTTTCCTTTTTCTCATCACAATATAGCTCCAAGTTATACACACCAAGAGGTGTTCTATTCCAGGAATACCATTAAACATTAATAAAGCAAAACAGTTTTAAATTCAGTTATTTAAACAACATACTAATCTGTAATTTTAATATTCATGTGATAGATATGTTGAAATATCTACTTAGAAGAATTATTCTCATTTCCATGTCTTCTAAAAAATACTAGTTAAGTATTTAGAATCCCTGGAAAAGGGCAACTTAAATGAATTCTCAGTGCTGTCTCAAAGTGCATCGCTCAGTAACAGGGCAACTTCTGCAAAGCAAATAGGGTTTGTCTTATACATGAAAAACCTGGGTAAGAAATGTGGAGTGCTACAACTGTCGAGAAACCCAAGCCCAATAAGCTCTGTTACTCACTGAATTTCATTTAATAACTTTTAGTACTAAAAGTCATCCTCTGAGCCAGTGCCTAAAAACAAAGCTAACTAAATTTAAAATGTGTGTTAAAAGGAGACTATGACATGACATTTACTCAAACCTTCTTGGCAACTTTCTCTCTGATTCTCATGTTGGAAATATTTTAGACTAACGGCAGTAATAAGGAAGGAAAACTCAGCAATCTGAAATTGAATGTAGTGTCTTTTAAAATAGTTTTGAAATCACCATGTAAATTATATACTGAAATGTGTAAATATTTTAATGATAGGATGCATTATAGAAAGATCTTTCTTCTTTGTGTGTACTATGAAATATCAGAGCAATCAGTTGTCTAACACACAATAAGAAGCATAACTACAAAGTAGGAATACTACTGAGCCTGAGGTAGTTAAATTAAAAATAAAAGATACATAATTCTAGTGTAGAGGCTTTCATCTTTTGTCCTCCCAGTGTTCTGCAAAATATATTTATATAGCGTGTTATATATATAATTTTAAAATATAGAGCAGTTAAGGTTCCATATATATGTAAACAGCTGAGCATTTGTAGGGCTGGATTTCTAAATATCTGTGCTAAATGAACACTGTTCTTCATCTCTGTGCACAACTCCCAAAGAGAAGAGCAGCAGTGGATGGAGGAATGTGTATGGCTGTAGGATCCATTTAAATCTTGTTGCACACAGTGCAATGATATTAAATCCTGACTCCATTGAAGTTTATGCTGAAATTCCTCTAAACTTCATTTCATCCTCAATTTCAGCTAGAGAGCTGAGTATTGTAATTTCAATTAAATCTCAGAGAATTTCTTGCCCCAGGTGCCAGATCCAGGCATGTTTCTATTTACCAGCTGACAGATGAGTATTGCCCACTGTAACTGCTCAAGCAGCGTGTATAAATGAGCTCTGTTCCCTGGCCACATCTGAATTCAGTGAAGCCATTATTTACCCCTGAAGTAAAATAGAGTATGTGTGCGCCAATCCCCGGACTGGTTTAGAGGGAAAGAAGCACATCCCTAACTACACATCACTCATTCAGAATATACATCTTGAATCCAAACTTGTGCTGCAATTAATGGAGACACTAATGTAGGTCTGCTATAAACATTCAGAAGGACAGTCAGCATCTCTTTTGCCTCAGTTAATTGCCATGTTTAAGCTATTTGAAAGCAATATTTACTTCATATTTCTAGTTTCGCAGAGTAAATATAATCTGAAACATCTGGAAAACCCTTATGTGCTCGTCATGCTGAAGTAATGCTCATGGGGACTGTGAGCATGCTTGCTGGCTCAAGCAATGTTTTGGATCTCTGTCCTCTGAGTTTGATAGAAAGCAAAGGGTAATATCATTTTACTTAACCCCACAGTATCCAGACTGATAGAGGAAGAGTTTTGCATAAAGCATTGTGCAAGATGCATCACAGGTTCTCTGACTGAAGACATTAAACACCTGGTGAAATGAGACTAAGCAAAATTTGAGAAACTTTTCCCATTCCACAGCAAACGGTTAATTTTATGTAAAACTGATTTCTTTCCTGCAATCCCTCCCCAATTCTGTACAAAAACCTGCTGTTCAAAAGCAATGTGAAAACTGGTATGGCAGCATAAAAGTTAAAATAAATGGCACAGTTCCCAGTAACTAAATTGGAGGATTAAACTTTTATGATTTCAAAGGAGATGCGCAGCACTGACCAGGTTCTAAGAACATCTCTCTTTTTTAAACACAGCGCTAAGGACGGCAGGATTTCGAAACGGCAGTTTGGGAAGCCGACCTAGTGCTCCCTTTAGAAGCAATGTTTATCAGCCAACTGAGATGGCAGTTGTGCTAAATGGTGGGACTGTAAGTATCAAAATGTGATGATTTAAGAAATCTTTGCTTTGTAACAATACATATGCAACTGCTACTAATTGAAAAGCCTTCTGCATTTAGCTTACTCATAGCAGGGTGACAGCAATACATGAAAATTCAGGGAGCAAGTATGCATGTAATGCTCCCCTTCCCCTCTAGAAAAGATGTAATTACAAAGTATTTTGCATTTCGTTACTTAGCCATTCACATTTTGCATTGTAACTTGGGTGAACCAAGTTCTTTGGTGACTCTAAACAACCCCTTTGAACCACGCTTGTGTTAAGTTTGTTAACTAGTAAGTGACACAATTTCCCACCTGATTTTTTTTTTCAAGATTTTGTGAGTCACACAAGTGTTTCAAGCCAGTACTTTACTCTAAATAACAATCATTGTTGCAGATAACGGTGGTCTCTCACCTATCTTCCACTTTCTTGTAAAACGTCCATAATTCTTTGTAAGTTACATATGTATGGATCTCTGTCAAAGATTCATAAAAGAGGAGTATAGAATATTTTAATGATAACAACGTAGATTTTTCTCTCTTAGGCAATAGTTTGGCATGCTGTTATTCGATAGACCTGTTTTTTGCAGCCTTGCAGTTGTAAGAATGGCTCAGCGATCTGATGCCAAACAGGCTTTCTAAATGTTTTTCACATGATGTTTAATTTGCAGCTAAGAAACTGCATATAGTAGGCATAATGTTAAGAAAATAATTTTCATCTTCATGTTTTTTCATGCATACCAACATGCTTGTTAAAAATTTACCCATGAGCCAGTTTATACTCATGTGAGTTGGGTTTTTTTATTTTGAATCATGAGCTGATTCCATAACTCAGCCTCAACATTTAAGCCAAAGAATGCAATCTGATTGCAGGTCTCTTCTTTTGTTTGTAAGTACAGTTTTGTTTGGGTTTAGTAAGCAAGAGAGACTAGGTATGAGGATTCTGCAGTGTGGGTAATACAGTGGGAAACATACTGACTTGAATAAAATGAGGCTTGTGCTTTGCTGTCAGTAATGAATAGCTTCCTTTCGATACTTGGATTCATCTGTTCCAGTATTTTCTGATACTAGAATATGCAGCTCAGGAAAAAGGCAGTTTAAGGACGATAAGATGCTAAAGAATTTGTTTTGTTCTGAGGTGGATACAAAGCTTACTGGAGAGCATTAGATAGTAAAATGAGAGAGAAATGAATTTATAGTCATGGCTTTTACAGAGGTAAATGCACTGTATGGGTTGAACATGAGCTTCATTGCATCATTTTGTTCTGGAAATACTGGCTCTAAAGCTGATGTGTACATGTAGCATGGTAACACTGATGTCTGAACACACTAGATCTCTCAGTTATGGGTTTATTATCCTTATTTGCAGATACCAACTGCTCCGCCAAGTTACACTGGACGACACCTCTGGTGAAAGGCTGTAGGCTGTAGAGAGTAAGAATCCTTGTTGCAGATTTTGTTCCTTGGCAGTGTGTCTTTGAGGGAGGAATCCATAGCAGTACCAGAACAAAGCAACAGAACATCCAG